ATGACCATGAAGCGGTTATGGCTCTCACACTGGTTTGGCAAGGTACAGTGCACCCACTGTCAGCTAGCACAGATAAATGCCACACATTTCTTTACACCCGAACAATTCCTTTGTACTAGAATTCAGTTGGTAAATAAGGAGACAGTTTTAAGATGTATAATAAAAAATTCCAGTCATAGCTTGAAAAATAACAATCTGTTTCAATTGAATAAAACACTCAGTCTGGAAGTAGTGGGATAGGTTTTGCGTTATCTGTGCAAGATGTGTATGGTTATGTATATCTCACTTTAAATACTGCAATATCTTTTCCCTTTAGGCCCAGCCATTAGTTCTTCACTACACCATCAAGGACAAAAGAACCAGATAGGACTTGTTTTTCAGTTTGACAAAAGCTGTACATATTTTGTACAATACATATTCTATTTTAATAGTGTTTGTGTACATATACTTATTTTCCTTGTTTTGTATTTTTGAAAATAAAATTTTAAATGGAAAAATGAGCTTGTGTTAATGACTGGGTAGATGTTTCCATCAGCATAAGGCCTGCATACACAAAAGGTTCTCGGTGTCTAATTCATTATTTATTGTACACATCACCTGACAGGCTGAATGGAGGGTTGTGGACAGAATACAAAGACATTGGTGCTCATTGCAGGTTTATTTAATATCTTGATAAAAGCTGCAAGAAATTATTCAATAAGCTACGTGTGAGTTATGATCCAGTTTGGTGGGGGGGGGGGCGTTGTGTGCCTTATTATTAAAACTTGTCAACAAATAGCTTAACTGCAGCCATGTGTTGGCACAGTGAGTGCAGTGTTTCGTTTAATTTCAAAATTGAACACAAATTATTTCCCTATGTTTACATTAAAAATATATATAATCATTACTTGTTTTGCCATGAAGTTATTGGATGTTTTTCATGATTTATTTATTTTTTTTAGTCTAAGTTTTAAACTTTAAATGACTACTAGCAAAATAAATGATGTGCAGAAGATATAAAGAGCAAATGTGAAAAACAAAATCAGATTCCTTAGCTTTTTCCCCCACTTTCGTGATTAAAGTAAAATCTGTTTTGGCTGCAGATACAGCCCCGAATACGTCTGCCATGCTTTACACATCTGGACTATTTCCCCATCTTCCATGAGAAAACTGTTCATGCTTCTGCAGGTAGTTTATCTCTGAAATAAAACATCTTCTAAGTTTGTTTGCAGAGCGCAGCACATTTCGCACTGGTTTTTGCATTTTCAGTTTTTCTGGGGCCTCTCACAGAAAAGTTGGGTGTATGATTGTTTCAAAGATCGTGTTTTTAATAGTGGCCCACGCCCCACAGCAGTAGTTTTTTTTGTCGAGTCAGAAACCTGTGACTCCTAATATTAGGAAGTGTGAATATGCGTCTCCTATCTCAGCCATGTAGCTGCTTCTGTGTTGACACAGACCACTTGGTTTCCTCTCTCACAGGCCTGCTCAGGCTAGATTTACAGCCATGCCATGTCTTTTCCATTTTTATAATTGACCTTACTGTAATCTGAGCGATATTCAGCGCCTTGGAAACAACTACTATCCCTCCCCTGCATGGTAGTTCTCTGTAAACATGTCAGTGTGTAGATTACTCAGGATTATCCCTACATGCACATTTAAGCTCACTGCTTATGCAACTGTTTGTGTGTGTGTGTGTGTGTGTGTGTGTGTGTGTGTGTGTGTGTGTGTGTGT